ATTTATTTTTTTTGTTGGATTTTTAATTTGTAAAGTTTCATTTTCTCATTTGGATGAGTCAAGCTCATATTCAAGATTATGAACATATTGCTTCTCATATCAGTGAATATATTGACGAAGGTAATTTCTTTGATGTATTTGAAATAGAAGACATCAAAAAGATCATGAAAATTTCAAATTTTACAGCAAATGGCTTCATTGCTCTTCTTGAGCAGTCACATCCTACTATCAATGCAAATAAATTATATGCTTGTACTCGAAATGCTAATATTTATATTCAAAACTTTGAAGATGTTATTTCAACACTGAAATCAATCAAAAAGTACATGAAACTCAGAATACTTAATAGTATTGTTGACTTTTTAGATTCCAAAGGAAAAGAAATATACGATTCTACAGAGAAAATCCAAAAACTTCAAACAGAGCTAAACGAAATTCCAAAACAAAAAAGTGACAACGAAATACAATCACTTCAATCTCAACTCAATCAAATCAATGAAGAAAGCAACAAATTAAAAGAAAAACTCAATGAAATGGAAAGTAACACCAATCAAGCCGATGAAACAATTTTATCAAAAATTAAAGAGCTAAAGGAATCAGATGATTTCGAAAGTATCTACAATTTCCTTGATGAGCTTTCATCTCAAGGAAATCGAAAAATGATTTCAAAAGCATGTGAAGAAGGACTTTGGAAGAAGACAACTACTGTACATTTTCGAGATGATGGTGATGAGTTTGATGAAAGGAATGTACTTCATGTAGCAAGTAATAAAGGAAATCTCAAACTTGTCAAATCTCTCATTGAATGCGGCTGTGATAAAGGTACAAGAGTTCACGTGGCTTGACTCCACTCAATTTATGCATCGTTTATTGGCCATATTGAAATTGTTATATCTATCTCTGGTTGAGCTGATATAGAAGCAAGATATGAAGGATACTTCACTCTTTAGGCATCAAGAAATGGTATCTGAAGTTGTTCAATATTTATCTCTTTGGTGCTATAAAGAAGCAAAGATAATGATGGATTACTCCACTTGCATCAGTAATGGTCCTTGAAGTTGTTAAATATCTTATCTCTGTTGGAGCTAACAAAGAAGCAAAGGATAAATATGGATACTCCACTGATTTTGCATCAGATAATGGTCATCTTGAAGTTGTTAAATATCTTATCTCTATGGAGCTGATAAAGAAGCAAAGATAATAATGGATCTACTCCACTCTTTTGCATCAAGAATGGTCATCTTGAAGTTGTTAAATATCTTATCTCTAATGGAGCTGATAAAGAAGCAAAGGATAATGCTGGATCTACTCCACTCATTGCATCAGAAATGGTCATCTTGAAGTTGTTCAATATCTTATCTCTGTTGGAGCTAAAAAGAAGCAAAGGATAAATATGAATATACTCCACTCATTTCTGCATCAGATAATGGTCATCTTGAAGTTGTTCAATATCTTATCTCTAATGGAGCTGATAAAGAAGCAAAGAATAATAATGGATGACTCCACTCATTTGGGCATCAAGATATGGTCATCTTGAAGTTGTTCAATATTTATCTCTAATGGAGCTGATAAAGAAGCAAAGGATAAATATGGATATACTCCACTCATTTTGCATCAGTACCGGTCATCTTGAAGTTGTTCAATATCTTATCTCTAATGGAGATAAAAGAAGCAAAGGATAATGATGGATGGACTCCACTCATTTGCATCAGATATGGTCATCTTGAGTTGTTAAATATCTTATCTCTAATGGAGCTGATAAAGAAGCAAAGAATAATAATGGATCTACTCCACTCATTTGTGCATCAGAAGAATGGTCATCTTGAAGTTGTTCAATATCTTATCTCTAATGGAGCTGATAAAGAAGCAAAGAATAAGATGGAAAAACGGCATTAGATCTTGCAACAGACAATGTAAAAAATTATCTAAAATCTTTATGAAGACTGTAGATTATAATAATTTAAGTTGTAATGGAGATAAATAAATAAAAAGATATCTTTTATTTGTAATATAACATAAATATATATAGATATATATAATACAAATTTATCTAATGTCGATGTTACCTCGACCACCACCACGGGAACGAGTTCTTGGTTGACGACGAACTTCTTCGTTTCGATGTGCTTCAAAGTTTTCGTTACGAACACCTTCGGGAATATCAAGATGAGGTTCATCTCGTTTAGGACGCTCGATTCTGATTTCGTGAACTGACTGTTGAAGTTTCTTGTTCTTGTTATTCTTATTGTTGTTATTATTGTTACTTTGTTCTTCGAAGATCTCGGTAGTTTGTACTCGGCGAACTTAGAATTTTGTTTTTGAGATTCTGGATGTTTTGGTTTTTCTTCTGTTTTATGTTCATCACCAACATACTCTGCAAATTCGTTTTCTGTTTCTGTTTCTTATTCTTTTGGTTTTGATTTTGTTGTTTCTTTTGATTCTGTTTGTTTTTGTTTCCGGTTTTATCTTGATCTTTGTCTTTGTCCTTTTTGTTGTTCTTGTTGTTTTGGTTTGGATGTTTCATTTTGTTGTGGTTGTTGTTCTGGATTGGAATCTGGTTTCTTAAGGAATATATCTCGTTTCTTTCGATTACGGTTGCGGTCGATTTGGACAAGATGAGAATCGAATTCAAGATGTGATTCAACAAGTTTTCCACTTGCTGATTTCAAGTTGTTCATCTCTGATGAAATGATTGGATACATCTGGTCAATGCCAAGGTAACAATCGGAAAGCATGTAAATCCATGCACTTCCTGGAATTCTTTCTTGGCATTGGATGGTGACAACATGTGTTTCCTTCTTAAGTTGAACACGGCGGTGACCAAACAACTTACCTGTGGATGGATCGCCAACAAGAATGAAAAGACTTTGGATACCTTACGCGTGAAGTGTGGAGAAATGACTTGTGAACCAAGTGTTCCTGAGATGTGTTCCAATGTGATACGGACTGCCATGCCGTTGGTGGAAATCAAATGTGACTTGTTCTTGAAAAGAACAACTCGATCTTTGATGAATTCGGTGCCTGAAAGAGGTGTGTCTTTGAACAAGATTTGAGGAAGCAAGTTGATGTTTTGTTGCTGAAGTTGTTTGAATAACTGAACATCAACTAATGCTTGGATAGAGTTCTGGTCGTGCCAGCAGCCTTGGACAAGCATCTGGGTGAGAATGCTTGCATTGATGACGGCGTTAAGTTCGCCTCGGATGGCGGCGATCTCCGAGAAACATCCGACAATTCGAAGAGCTTGGTCAAGAACCGATGCCAAATCGGTGATGAAATCGGGAATAGGCATCTCACGACGAGAAAAGTAGTACTGGCACATGAAGAATGCTTTGGTGTGAGGAGAATCAATGGGATCTTCGGTCTTGAAGCGTGGAGTCATGTCCATGACAACTTCGTCTTCTGAGTGACGAACTGGGACTTGTTTGAATTCCTGTGCCATGCAGATAAGACGAAGAAGAGAAACAACATTGGATGACTCATTCATGCGATCAATAAACAACTTAACGTCGTCGGGAGAGACATAGAAGATGGATGCAATGCGTCCTTCTGGTGTTGGATTGATGTGTCCTTCCAAGTTGACACTGATGCAGTGTTTGTCTGTCAACGCTTTGATGATGTTCGATGAAACTTCTTCCAATGTGATGTTCTCGTAATAACCGGGATTCTTATCAAGACGGATTGCAAAGAATGAACGTTTAAGCCATGACATAAGTGACTTCTTAGATTTGATACGACCTGATGCAATCTCAGCGCATTGGCGTGTTCACTAGCGTGTTCGAATAAGTTAGATTCGACTGGAAGAGGAGAGTTGATGAATCGCTTCAAGAAATCTTTACGACCTTCCTCGCAAAGAATCATGACAATGCCTTCTGTGTCGAACTGAGGACGACCAGCACGACCCATCATCTGCTGCATTTCAGTGCTAGAGTATGGAACGTATTGGCATGTCTTAGCGTCGTGGAACTCAGTGCCTTTGATGACAACAAAATGTGCAGGAAGATTGACACCCCATGCCAATGTGGCTGTAGCAACTAACAACTTCATCTTACCTGATGCAAACAATTCTTCAACAATCTCGCAGTCACTGGAAACTAAACCTGCGTGATGCAAACCAATACCTAAACTAAGACAATGTGACAATGTTTGGTCTTGAACTTTCTGGCTGGCCAATGCGGTCTCTGGTGTAGTGTAATAGAATGGTTCGCCTCTGTTCGTTGCGTATGAAATAAGGTCGAATGCTGTCAAACGAGTCTGACGACGTGATGGAACGAAACAAGTGTTGGTTTGTCATTAGAGTACTCACGGATAGCATCTGAAAGTGGTTTGTTCATAGATGCCATTCGAGGACAGAAATGACGACCAGGGAATCCACGGATGAATGTCTTCAATGGAACAGCGCGCATTTGTGGAGGGAAGTTGTATGTACCACGACGAGAAACACCTAAGAACTCTGCAACATCAAGTGGATTAGATAAACATGTGCTCAAACCAATGAATCGGACTTTAGTTGGCATCGATTTCATTCGGTCAACAACTGCTTCAATGATGTGGCCACGGTCTGTACCAAGTAAATGTGCTTCATCAATAACAACTAAACCAACTGTTTGGACAAAACGACGAACAACAAATCCACGAGAAACGGCATCCCATTTCTCTGGTGTGGCAACAATAAGACTTGCTTTAGCAATAGCATTAGAATCTGGGGTGAATTCACCTGTCAATTCAATCAATTTATCGCCGAATTTCATGCGCCAGTCTTGAACACGTTCTGTGACAATAGCTTTAAGAGGAGCCAGGTAAACTGCTTTTTGTTCGGGATGTGTTGAGAAAAGGCGACAAATCGCAAGTTCGGCAATTGATGTCTTGCCTGCAGCTGTAGGAGCGCAAATCAGGAGACTTTCATCAGTGCGATATGTCTGGAAGAAAACTTGTGACTGGACTGGGTTAAAGAACTCAAAACCAAACAGTTTTCGATGTTCAATGTTTTCAATAGATGTAACTGGGAGTGGTCGTAAATTAGGTGGATTAGATTCGAAACTATCGAATGTAGCACGGTCTGAGTTTTTGATGTAAATAGATTGTGAATCACCAACACCTAAAAAGCGGCTAGATGTCATAGTAACTAAATACTTATGACTTTCACAAACTGGAACAAGGTATTCGAATTTGAAGCCATCATTAGCAAGATGTCGATCAATTTGGACTTCTTGAGCAAGATACATCTTTTCTCCGTTACCGTCTTCAATGAAGATCCAGAAACTCAATGTGTCGTGAGTAACATGTGGATCCCATTTGAATGGAAATGATGCTTCGATGATGATGTTGATGATTTGATCGGAAATCGGTTGATAACGAGTGTCGATTTCGACAATAGGGAATTTGCGTGCAATGTCTTGTGCGTTGATTGCCATTTGTTCATTACGGAACATAGATTTTAATTCACCTAAATCGGCTGATCGTAAATCATCGAGTTCTAATCCTAAAAACTGGATCTTGTAGATAAGTTGGTCGTCTTTTGGAAATGTCATCAACTGACGTAATGGATGGTCAATTCGCTGGCGGCACCACCACATACGGTTTCCCACCATTTTCTTAAAAGGGATAAAAACATTTGTTACAAAAATGAAATACAAATAAATAAATATTTCGCGTGGTGTGGAGCTTTTGGCCAGAAATTATGTTCTAGCCAAACGAAGGCCTATACATCGAGCAACATATCATAAATATCGATCTTGTTTATATTTCTTTTTGAAAACATTATTCGAAATGATTTGTGTCAATTGATTCACTAAGACAATAACGATAATTTCCATTTTGATATTCAATTTTTGAATAGTATTGAAAGATTCACATTTTGATTCACAGTTAAAAGTAGACTATTAAAACAAGATACATGATGAAATTCATACTCTGAGTTATATTGATGTCTATTTAATATATGAAAAAAAATATCAAAATGAAAATGAGATGGGAAATTTAACTATGTTCACAATCTGACATATAAATTTCATATAACCATCTATATTTATACCTGAGTGTTTCATATATTCATCAATATTCTGAATAAAATGTAAAATTTTTATGAAGACAAAGTTTGACCATAAGAAATCTTCCACCATGAAGCTTTAGTATGATTACATATCACATGAATATAAATTTATTTGACATTTCTACATAAACTGTGAAAATCAAAAGAGGAAACTATCAATTTTTGAATAGTTTACATTTCTAATGATAATAGTACCTAAACTGAGAGTGAGGGTAAATTATCAAACATGTGAGCCCGAATAAGCAGAACATGCAATATGTAGTTGCTTCTAGTTATGCTTAAATTTCTGTTTTGAAGCTAGAATTAAATTTCAAAATCTTAAATTTTGAAGTTAAATCCGACGTTCAATATAAATTTATTTTATTAACTTCTTTTAATAATAAATATTAATTTTAATTTTATGTTGGATTTTTATCTTGAAACTGAGGCGAAAACGATAAATCTCATTTTCATCTCAATTTTTCTGAGTCTCTTTAAAAGTGTTTATATTAATGTAGAGAATTGAAATTTATGGCATTTAAGTTAAAACACTTGATCTAATAAATAGAAAAGCTTAGTAGCAATTACTTTTTTTTTAAATTGAATTTAATTTATTTTTTTTGTTGGATTTTTAATTTGTAAAGTTTCATTTTCTCATTTGATGAGTCAAGCTCATATTCAAGATTATGAACATATTGCTTCTCATATCAGTGAATATATTGACGAAGGTAATTTCTTTGATGTATTTGAAATAGAAGACATCAAAAAGATCATGAAAATTTCAAATTTTACAGCAAATGGCTTCATTGCTCTTCTTGAGCAGTCACATCCTACTATCAATGCAAATAAATTATATGCTTGTACTCGAAATGCTAATATTTATATTCAAAACTTTGAAGATGTTATTTCAACACTGAAATCAATCAAAAAGTACATGAAACTCAGAATACTTAATAGTATTGTTGACTTTTTAGATTCCAAAGGAAAAGAAATATACGATTCTACAGAGAAAATCCAAAAACTTCAAACAGAGCTAAACGAAATTCCAAAAACAAAAAAGTGACAACGAAATACAATCACTTCAATCTCAACTCAATCAAATCAATGAAGAAAGCAACAAATTAAAAGAAAAACTCAATGAAATGGAAAGTAACACCAATCAAGCCGATGAAACAATTTTATCAAAAATTAAAGAGCTAAAGGAATCAGATGATTTCGAAAGTATCTACAATTTCCTTGATGAGCTTTCATCTCAAGGAAATCGAAAAATGATTTCAAAAGCATGTGAAGAAGGACTTTGGAAGAAGACAACTACTGTACATTTTCGAGATGATGGTGATGAGTTTGATGAAAGGAATGTACTTCATGTAGCAAGTAATAAAGGAAATCTCAAACTTGTCAAATCTCTCATTGAATGCGGCTGTGATAAAGGTACAAAGAGTTCACGTGGCTTGACTCACTCAATTATGCATCGTTTATGGCCATATTGAAATTGTTAAATATCTTATCTCTGTTGGAGCTGTATAGAAGCAAAGGATATTGAAGGAGATACTTCACTCATTTATGCATCAAGAAATGGTCATCTTGAAGTTGTTCAATATTTAATCGCTATTGTGCTAATAAAGAAGCAAAGGATAATGGATGTACTCCACTCATTATGCATCAAGTAATGGTCGTCTTGAAGTTGTTAAATATCTTATCTCTGTTGGAGCTGATAAAGAAGCAAAGAATAATAATGGATCTACTCCACTCATTTCTGCATCTAATGGTCATCTTGAAGTTGTTAAATATCTTATCTCTAATGGAGCTGATAAAGAAGCAAAGATAATGCTGGATCTACTCCACTCATTTGGCATCAAAAGAAGGTCATCTTGAAGTTGTTAAATATCTTATCTCTAATGGAGCTGATAAAGAAGCAAAGATAATGCTGGATCTCTCCACTCATTTGCATCAAGAAATGGTCATCTTGAAGTTGTTCAATATCTTATCTCTGTTGGAGCTAACAAAGAAGCAAAGGATAAATATGAATATACTCCACTCATTTCTGCATCAGATAATGGTCATCTTGAAGTTGTTCAATATCTTATCTCTAATGGAGCTGATAAAGAAGCAAAGAATAAAATTGGATGCACTCCACTCATTTCTGCATCAGCTAATGGTCATCTTGAAGTTGTTCAATATCTTATCTCTAATGGAGCTGATAAAGAAGCAAAGGATAATTGGGGAAGGACTCCGCTCATTTATGCATCAGGTAGTGATCATCTTGAAGTTGTTAAATATCTTATCTCTGTTGGTGCTGATAAAGAAGCAAAGGATAATGATGGATGTACTCCACTCGATTATGCATCAAGTAATGGTCGTCTTGAAGTTGTTAAATATCTTATCTCTGTTGGAGCTAACAAAGAAGCAAAGAATAATAATGGATCTACTCCACTCATTAAAGCATCACAAAAGGGTCATCTTGAAGTTGTTAAATATTTAATCACTATTGATGCTAACAAAGAAGCAAAAGACAAAAATGGAGATACTCCACTCACTTATGCATCAGGTAGTGATCATCTTGAAGTTGTTAAATATTTAATCGCTATTGGTGCTAATAAAGAAGCAAAGGATAATGATGGATGTACTCCACTCGATTATGCATCAAGTAATGGTCGTCTTGAAGTTGTTAAATATCTTATCTCTGTTGGAGCTGATAAAGAAGCAAAAAATAATGGATCTACTCCACTCATTAAAGCATCAGCTAATTTCATCTTGAAGTTGTTCAATATTTAATCTCTATTGGAGCTAACAAAGAAGCAAAGAATAATAATGGATCTACTCCACTCATTAAAGCATCACAAAAGGGTCATCTTGAAGTTGTTCAATATCTTATCTCTGTTGGAGCTGATAAAGAAGCAAAGAATAATGATGGATATACTCCACTCATTAAAGCATCACAAAAGGGTCATCTTGAAGTTGTTCAATATTTAATCTCTATTGGAGCTAACAAAGAAGCAAAGAATAATAATGGATTACTCCACTCATTAAGCATCACAAAAGGGTCATCTTGAAGTTGTTCAATATCTTATCTCTGTTGGAGCTGATAAAGAAGCAAAGAATAATGATGGATATACTCCGCTCATTTCTGCATCAAGAAATGGTGAACTTGAAGTTGTTCAATATCTTATCTCTGTTGGAGCTGATAAAGAAGCAAAGGATAATGATGGATATACTCCACTCATTTGGGCATTAGATAATGGTGAACTTGAAGTTGTTCAATATCTTATCTCTGTTGGAGCTGATAAAGAAGCAATGGATAATGATGGATGGAATCTACTCATTTGGGCATTAGATAATGGTGAACTTGGAGTTGTTCAATATCTTATCTCTAATGGAGCTGATAAAGAAGCAAAGGATAATGATGGATGGAATCTACTCATTTGGGCATTAGATAATGGTCATCTTGAAGTTGTTAAATATCTTATCTCTAATGGAGCTGATAAAGAAGCAAAGGATAATGATGGATGGACTCCACTCATTTCTGCATCAGCTAATGGTCATCTTGAAGTTGTTAAATTCTTATCTCTGTTGGAGCTGATAAAGAAGCAAAGGATAATGATGGAAATACTCCACTCATTTGGGCATTAGATAATGGTCATCTTGAAGTTGTTCAATATCTTATCTCTAATGGAGCTGATAAAGAAGCAAAGGATAATGATGGATGTACTCCACTCATTTCTGCATCATATAATGGTGAACTTGAAGTTGTTCAATATCTTATCTCTGTTGGAGCTAACAAGAAGCAAAGGATAATGATGGATGGACTCCACTCATTTCTGCATCAGCTAATGGTCATCTTGAAGTTGTTCAATATCTTATCTCTAATGGAGCTGATAAAGAAGCAAAGGATAATGGTGGAAGAACTGCACTCGACTTTGCAAAAAGTGAAGTAAGAGATTATTTGAAATTTTATTGAACTAAGAAGAATACAATAATTGTTTCATCGATTAATATTTTCAATGATGCTTCACGCCCGTTGCTAACATTCTTTAAAAAACTTATATTATAAACTTTAAGGCTGCACTTACCGCTTTCAGACATTCACTCAATTTTTTTGAATCTCTAGCTTTTGATCCCAATTTTATGTTGTCAAGAGTTAATATTTTCGGTCGGGAAAAAGTAACTATAAATCATAATAAGTGCATAATATGGACGTTATACATTTCTGCTGTAAAAATAAAGATATATTGTGTTTTAAAGCGTATGTCAGAAAGTGGTAAGTGCACCCTTAACACTTTGAAAATTTTATGAAGAAGACATCTAAAGACATATTATACATTTCTTTCTGTGTAGAACTATAGAAAAAGGTAATTTTTCTGATATCCCTCACTCATTGTTGCATCAGATAAAGATTATCTTGAAGTTTTTAAATATCTTGTTTCCATTGATATTTATAATAATGATGGAAATAACATACTTGATATTACATATGAAAACACAATGAGAAATTATTTAGATTGAATAACAATAAAAAAAAATAAATAAAAAAATAAATAAAAATGCTTTATTTTACATTTTACGAATTCTTCCAATGATTTCGTTACTTTCTGCACAATCCTCTTCATAACATGCCAACTTAAGGGCTTCTGCCATCTTATGTTTATTTCCAATGCACTCAATAGCTACTTTATGCGCATTGACGAAAAGAACATTCGGAAGAAGTGATAAAATGTGTTTCTTCTTTTCTTCGTCAACGCGGCTGTACAACCTTGCAAGAGCAACAAACAATGAGATAAAGCGAGGAATATACTTGTGGAACTGCAAAACTACAAACTGGACACCATCACTGAAACCTAATGATTCAGTAATAAATGAAATATATTCATACAAAATATCTGCCATAGAAGGTCCATCGATTTTGTGTGCTTTGTAAAGAAATTCTGTAGACCTGTCTAAAATAAATGTTTCGTATGTTGACATTTTAGTTGCAATCTCTCTGATGATTTGGATCTGGCATCGCATCAAGAAAAGAGATGCAGGTTTCGTCATCAATTTTTCTGAAAATGTCAAACATTTCTTTTGTATTTCCTGGTCACCGCCAGCAATCAATTTCGGAATCAAAACGGACATCGCTGGGAATGAAGGTGAAGAAGGAACTGGGATGATTTGATCGAATGATTTAATAAGGAGTTTCTGGTAACTTGACAATGTTTGTCTTGTCATGATATTAGAATAAAACAAAACAACATTTTCGTGGATGAATGGAATCTTGTCAAATTCACTGACTCTTTGCATGACTTGATTCAGCTTGTTGTTCTTCATCAAACTATCAAGACTAGAATCTTTCGATTTCGTTAAGATCATGTTCAAAAATTTGACACCGGTAGAGAAAAGTGAAGGAGTAATTCCTGTCAAATAATTCTGTGTGTTGTCATAAATTTTTTCCAATGACTTTTGGTTTGTTTCGATACATAAAAGACTCAATGACGAGATACAGCTTTCGAGTGTGTTCTTACCGACGTTTTCACAAATTTTTGTTCGAAGGAATTCGTTCAACGAACTGTTTGTTGGAACTTTTGAAACAGCGGAATAAACGAAACGAGTTAAAACTGACAAATTAATTTCATTTTCATTTGTTTTCAGTTTGGAAATGATTTGATCAATCCAGCTTCCTTCTATTTTTGGTATTAATGAACAAGCAACTGTTGCAAGTGTCAAAGATGTTAGATATCGTTTAGGAGGTGTGTTTGGATCCAAACACTTAATAACAAATTCAAAAACACTTTCTTTTGGAAGAGCAACTTTAGAAATCGCATATAAAACTTTTGTGATTCCTTTCTTAGTGATTCTATCTCCAGAAACACAATTAATGAATGTTTGTGGAATAACTGTTGCAGATGTAATACAAACTTCTTTGGAATGTGATAGTTTCAAACATTCCGAAACAAATGATGGTCCAAATGGATCTTTAATGATACGGATATATTGTATAACCATAGGAAGAAGAGAATGTGGAATATAATGTGGATTAAAGTCTAAATTAACTTTGGATTTAGTTGCGTAATTCAAAAGTGCACGTAATCCAACATTATTACTAAAACGACAATATGTTAATGCAAGTGATTGTAAAACATCTTTTTGGAACTCATATAAATTACTCCGTAATTGTGTAATGATGTGAGGTGATGTCAAATCACTTGTAAAATCATTACTCATGTTAACATTGTATTCAACATTCAAAACAGGATTATCCGAAACAGATTTGATTTCCTCAGCAATATAAGGAGGTGGCTGATCACCCATTAATCTCCTATAAGCATCAGGATGGTCTTTCAACAGTTTGTTTAGCATTCTATTCCTTCTGTTTTCAGGAATTTGCCAAATTAAAGGAGTAATTGTCGAAATTTCTGCGACAACAGTTGCTTCGTATCTTACGAAAACAAACAAAACACCATCAGGAACAACTTCCAAATGTTGAAGTGCGTAGTATGAAAGCTTATGAATTACATCACGTGCTTGAATAAAACGTGAAGCAGAATCTGGTAATTTTGTCAACAAAAGATAAGCCCAAATTGCAATGGCTCCAAAATCTTTCATTGTTGCAAGACAGGGGGAAATTGTTGACAAGATTGTTGATTGTTCGTTTTCTGTCATTGATTTCCATAATTTCTCGTAAAGACGAGCTGATTCATGAGGAAAGATCTTAATTAATGCATTTGCAAGATTAAGTTGGCTAGGAAGATAGCAACAATCATTTGGAAGTGAATTAAAGAGTTTAACAACAGAAAACAAACTGCTTAAATAAGATTCATGGTCTGTATCTTGTCCAGAGATGATATCGAAGTTCTTTGATTGAAGATCGCTATCAAGAATATTAATTAATTCAGAAACAGTTGAAGAATTTCCGAAATCAGGTTTTTGACCATTAATCAAATGTAATTCTGCGGCAGCAATATCCAAAGCGAAAAGAGCTAATGAACTTGACTGAGAACTACTTAAGAAAGACAAATCAAAGTAACTTAAGAACATAAAGATGTTTGATATTAAATTAAGATCTTCTTTGAAATAATCTAAACCTTCAACAATAGAAACAATTAAAAAGTCGAAAAACTTCAAATCAATGTCTTGTTGATGATCTCTAACAATGATTGTCAATAAATTAATTGAGCGGCGGAAAGAATCGAGATCGAAATAATCAATGTTATTTGCAATTTTCATTAAAACAAATGAATAATCTTTAGGTCTAATAAATTTGCTCAAAACATTTGGAGAAAGTTGATAAACTTTGTCATTCTGGTTGAAACTTAAATCATATAATATTCCTATGACTTTCTTAATTCCATTTATTCCTACAAGTTTCTCTACAGTGTTTGCATTCGTTTCAGAAAGAAGATTCAATACATTTAATGATTTAAACCATGATGTTTGTTTCGTTAAAACAAGTTGTGCAAATAATTGACTTAATTCCAAATTTGACTCGAGTTTATTGATACATAATGAAAGAGATGCACAACATGATGCTTGTCTATCATCGTTATTCTCGTTAAGACTGTCAAATAATATTTTGACGTATTCTTCTTGGTTTTCTTTCGCAATGTATCCCAATGTTTTGATTTTCGTTTGAACAATTAATGATCCGTCATCGAGATTAGGACGAAGAATCTGTAAAGGAAGTCTCATGTTGTAAAATGCTGGAATATTACGGTATTTAAGGATATCTAATGTGACATTTTCTGAATTTGAAATTGTATTAACAGTAATTTCGAGTTTTGTGAAATCTTTGACTTCGAAATTGACGTTGAATGATTGTGATGATACTCCTAAGATCTGAAATGATGAATTATCTCGGCTTGAATATGATTTTGCTCATTCTTGAGAATATCAATGCAAAGTAAGGATATTCCTGAAAGATCG